GTGATTGTTAACTCACATCTACTGTATACTTGAAGCCACAAAGTTTTTACTACTTGCATTTTTCATAAACTAATAACATGAAATTCTAGCACAACAACAGTAACTGTCTGAACAGAAAGAACAGTGTCAATAGCCAGTATTTCTGTTACTCCCAAGTACTTTTTCAGAACTAAAGGTAAAAGGTTGCTCTATTTTTTCTGTTTTGTGATCAGTTCTGGGGAGGATGAGGACTCAAACACGTAGGATTCACTACTGATTTGTAAGGAAGTTTCTATGACAAAGCACCATAGAGACACTTTACCAGCAGATACTTCTAAATAGAAAACTCTCCTGACCATTTTACCCTCTAAAATCAAAACCTGTGAGAATTCTAAACCACATTTTAAAGCTATTTAAATTTTGACTCTTGAATAGATTATTAATCACACATTAAGAAGTTGTATCAGAATGCAGATAATCTCTAAAACCGCATAAATCTTATAGACTGTAAAACACCGGGAGCTCCCAAACAAGTAGCTGGTCAATAAAACTTGATCTTGTCACTTTGCTCATCATGCACAAGCTAAAATGCAGGGCAACGTTTTACTGTACAGATACAAAGTTTTAATATACATCTGTTCCCATCAACAGCTCCTCACAGTAAAACCTTAGTAATCCTTTATGATAAAAGGGATAATTTATGGACCCATTTTAAATTCAGTTGGTCCCTCAGATACTACCTTGGTTAAAATCTGATGAACACAGTAAAAAAAAATTCAGGGAGAGGTATAGCCTAGAGGAAAAGAAATAAAAGGATGGAAACAAAAATTGTATCTTTTTTTCATTAAATCTCAAATACAGATTATTAAAATGGGATGGATTTTTACTAAATCCTTTTTTTGAAGCTGATAGGTACCCTTAAGACTTGCACAGCTTACTTCTAAACTTTTAATACCACAGGCCTTGACACTTGACAAACTTACTAGGCAAGTTTCTCTAAAACGGTTGGCTGTTGTTTTAAAATCTTATTCCAAGATTTATTTTAAATAAAATTTCATAATGACTATGTGGAAAACCTCGTAAGTATCAGTCTTGCAAAATCTACTTATTATTTTTAGGAACAAACCAAGTTGCTCAAAGCTCACCATCATCTTCCACCACTGTGGAAGAGGCAGGCAAGTATTTTGTCTCTTCAGCTGGTCATGATAGAAATTTTGACAGACTGATACATGTATTCACTAACACAACACCCATGTCATGATTTACTATCCTGAATCACCTATGGAAAAGCTTTAAACGGCAAAGTTTATCCAAGTTCCAGTGAGGAATAAACAAAAATAATGAACAGAGATTAAGGCCCCTATGCTAGAAACAAATAGCATTTAAAATACTGAAGAAAATATAAAATATTGAAAAATTATATAAATCAAGAATGTGATGCAAGTACAGAAGTTCTGGCTTGTTTGCTTAGCATGCTTGAAAAGGAGTGATATTTTGCAACGTTAATCCTGCAATTCTCTTAAACAAGAAACTGAAATAAAAGAGGCACATTTACTCTTCTGAAACTATTCCTATGATATAAATGCTTGTTACAAATGACACCTAGCTAATGGCTTTAATGTTATATTAAATATGCCAAGGTAGCAATATATTTGGCAATGACAGAATTTAAAGATGAGATTATTAGACCTACTAACATCAAAGTATTTTTGTTTTGTGTGCAGTAAATACATTTCATTCAAACATATTCCATTATATTTTCCACACCTCCTCTAGGATTATGAGCATAGTACCTATACTGTACAGCTTGATTTTCATGACTTTATTCAAAAAGTTATTACTGATTCTTAGTCTTCAAATTAATTTCAATTTGTAAGCCAAGATAAACAAAAATGTCTGGTTTGTGACCCAGGTTAAAATGCTGAACACTTAAAGGAGATAGCCATTGGTTCATGATAAAATAGGACAAGTTCAAACTCTTAGGTTAAAATACAGCCATAGCATAGAATTATCTCTTCCAAAATTAATTTTTCAAAATATAATTCTCTGAACATGTTATACATTAAATATTGAGGAAAATTTCCCTGGAGCTACAATTTTCCAAGAACACTAATAAACTTCATTAAAGAAGTAAAACAAACCACATAGTATCTGAAGACAAAAAGCAGAGTTGGGGTCACCTTACTGCAGAGTAGCTTTACCACCACAAAGATGCAGGTTCCCCCTTAATCTTGAAAAATACGTTCCTATTTACATACAGTATACACACAGTTGAGGCAATTGATTGTCAACACGTGACAAATGTATGTACCTACTCACACACAAGTAAACCTCACATGGTGAGAAAAAACCCTGTCCCAGTAAACTCCAGTATTCATAAGTAGTGCAAATAAATACTTTGTCAGAAAACACCTTTTTTTTTTCCTCAGTATTTTGATGACCTTAATTACGTTAAAGCTAGCAGGAGTATGTTGGAAATGCATTTAAGACCAACACAACTGCAAACTACAAATACTAGATCTAATGCTTACTGGCTGCAACATGATGTTCAGCATTACAGAATGAAGTATGCTGCTAAAAACTTCAAATTCACATCAGAAAGGGTGTTCAAAGAAATTTGCACTTAAAATGGACAGTGATACGGAAGTATCAATTTTATGAAATTTTCCAAATGAAAACTAAAGGGATAATACAGCCATTTAAACGGTCATCTTGCAACATTAATTTTAATAGGTATTTTTACTTCATCACTTTGCTCTCTGCAGAATGAAAATATGGTTCGCCTTTCAGCCAAAAAGCTGCTCACAATAAATCCCTGAAAAGGATAATCAAGCTAGAGTTTACAATACCAACATATTGCATTTTCTTAAAATTACAAAGTCCAAATAAATGAGTTGCAAAATGGCAGCATACTGTGATGTGCATCAAGGAATATTTCATTTTTCCCTACTGAAGTATATGTATACATCAGAGTATAGAATCTACCCTTCCTCACCTAAGAACTGCAAGTATGCGCATGCATGAACACACATGGAGGGAAAAAACAGTGTTCTGCTTCTTGTCCTTTTATAATGCTGCAGTTGCACTCAAACAGTGCACAAATCTAAATCTAGTGCCTCAAGTACCAAGTGTTCTAAAAGAAGAGACAGTAGAGTGAATTTAGGATAAGAGGTTTGATTTAAGTCTAAACATTTGTCACAGGTGTCAGAAAATTTAAGCATGTTTTGTACTTTGTTTAGCATTTAGCATATATAATCAGAAACCCAACAGATTATTCCCTCCACCCATATCCCAGACACTTTTAATTTTATTTCTGCCACAGCACTTTGGAATGTACTGAACATAGTGTATAAAGATTTGCTATGATCTTGACACACCTTAACATAGTCTGAGATACGTCTAGAAGCATTAATGATAAACATGATGCACAGCACTGCAGAGCCTGGTATTACAGCTGGTTTGTAGATACTTGTGATGACCTGATTTGTAAGGTAAATGTTCAACAGTACTTGGCTGGAAAACAACAAAACAAGCTCCCACAACTGAAACACTGCACTAAAAGGACAATTTGTGAGAAGTCACAGATGTACCACATCAGCACATAGAAAACAATTTTTTTACAGGGATAAATTTGAACTCTTTTTAAAAAGACTGATATGGAGTAGGTATATATACACAAGAACAAATCAAAATACAATGAATGAAAGAAACATAAAAAAAGGCACATGATCAAAATGAGAAGTGTAAAAGTATTTTAAAGATAATTTGATTGGGGTGTTTGCCAATTTCAGTTTACACATGTCCATTTGACTTCCCTATCTGAAGCCAGTAAAGCTGTCTCACTTTGCTGAAATAGTTTCCAAGTGTGGGACTCCACACAAAAATATAGGTTTTAAGAAAAGGTTGTAAAATTTGACCTGATATCAATTTAAGTGTCCTAAAATTTCTAGATGAATGCATCTAATGACAAATATAGAAAGTAGAGAACATTGCTAGTGAACAACTTTACTTTTTAAAATACTAAAATTAAGTATTTCTTAGAAAATTAGCTGACACTCCTGACCTTTTCTTTCCCAGATACTTTAGCAAATTTCCTTTATGATAGTCTACAAAGTATAAACTTGGTACTTCCAGTCATGACTTACCATTTGTCTCCACTAGGAAAATTTTATCTTATAATGGAGAGTTTAACCATATATAGCTTTTGACATTTTTACAGAAATGCAAGCCTTGTACTTCATCTCAGCTTTGCCTTAGTTCCATCTGTGCATGACTGGTGGTCCTTAAAAATTAACTTCCATTTGGAAGCCATCAGTTTTTCCTTCTGATAAGTCTATTTACTCTTTACCTGAATTTCTACATCAGTGCTACTGAATTCACTTTATGAATGCATGATATGAAGACTAGGCTACCAAAGTAATTCATCAAACCATAAAAAAAACTTCAAATATTTTAATGAATTTTAATGTAAATTTGAAAAAAAAATTCTGAAATAAAGCTTAAAAAAATCCCCACCAAAATCAACTATCAGCAATACCACACTATGTCACCATTGTTCTGAATATCTTAAAGTCTATCAAAGAGAACCTGCTGTTTGTAACTGCTTACATTTATCCTTCACAGTGACAGTGAAACCAAAGTGCCCACATAAAAATGGTAACTCTTTCCTGCAGGTTTACAGTTTGTAAACTTCCAGATATCATACAGGACTTAAGCAGAGAGGATGAACCTTCCCCTTCTATATCAATCCAAAAAGAGATACAGAGAGATGGAGAGAGAATGCCAAACATTCTCCAGTGTAACCAGAAATGTGCTTCCAAGCAGTGTCCGCTAACATATGTACCAGCCAGTGCCCACACACCAGTCATATACATTCGAGGCTTGGCTCAATGGCATGAGTTCTGCATTTTCTAGAGTAGGGTAAATGCACAAAAATAAGAGTTTAAAAAACTCAAAAGATTATATATACCAAGGCAATGAAGTGTGAACCTTCTGGGGAAAAAAAGAAGACTGTTGGTACCCCTTTGCACAAATGGCATTGCTAGAAAAGCATTTCACATTGAAGCTTCAGTGCTTCTGGCAAACTATTGTCTCTATCCCTGAGACAGCACCTTGAGAGTATGGTCTGTCTGGACTGCAGGATTCCTCAAATGACTCCATCATTGAATTCAGGGACATTGAGAAAGCAGCTGAAAGGGGTGGGGGTATCCCAACAGCCATGACACAAAAGACAGCAGCCTGAGAAATACTCTTTACCCGAATACACCTTTTGGTGATCAGCACCTCACAACAACAACAGCAACAACAGAAATGAAGCAGAGCTAGTCATTATTTCCTGGGAAAGTAGTGTTTCCTTCCCACTTATAAACCAAATTGCTTTAACAGCATGGTGGTGTCTAACTTTTAGTCTAAATGCAGAATGACCCTGTGTCCTGGAGGGGAAGACATGTAACATTACAAATGGCTACAACGCCATCAAGAAGTGCATTGTAACCTACATTATCAACCTAGAATCCTCTCTCCGAGGGAAAACAGCTTCTTAATACGCATGTCTCAGTTGCTGAACATCAAAAGCTTCTGGGATGAGAGACTGGGAGCAGTCAAGAAAGAACTACCCTCATTTTAATGAAAAAAGTGCTGTAGGCAGCCAGGAGCAGCAATGACAATCCCCTCCCCAGAATTGATTGCACAGACTCAGAGAGGTCCAAAGTCACACTAGAATCTCTGAGGCACTCCTGGTTCTGAGAAAGACAAGTCAGGATCCAGTAGTCTTTGCAGTACTGTAGACCGAGAAAACAAACCCGTTTCTATTTCTTAACAAAGCCAAAGCATCATCTCATAGGGATCACATTCACCATTTCTGCCGGTGTCTCCAGTCTCACAGTGTTGAAATGGGACTGATCAGCCTACGATGGATTGCACATCACCCAAGGAGAAAGGAAGGCATGGAAAAAGGCATACAGTACATTATATACTGCTTCACAACCATGTTTACAAGGGGAAGGAGGATGAAGGTGAGGGAAGAATTATTGCTGTTTCAGTAATACAGTATGATAGCTAAAACAAATCAAACGAGATCACAACAGTCAGTATTTTCACACTGTGGGATGATGGTTCATGTTTTGCCTAAGGATGAACTTGCCAGGGATTAAGGGGGAAGGACTACTAAGGAAGGGAGTCAAAGTTACACCTGGGATATGAGCTGCATATTGAAACTTGGAGATCGAGACTGCTTGGTTAGGGGAGCTCCTGGGGAAAGGAGATCTTTACCTTCCCCAGCTTGGCCCAGCCGGTCCTCCTGTAGGCTGATAGTTGAAAACCGATTGGTGTTGCCAGCTGCTAGACTGGTAAAACCCTCTGTACCAGCTCCAACACTGGAGCCTGCTTGACTGCCATTCACATAGTCAAATGATTTACTGGAGGAAGCACTGGCGGTCCTGATCAGGCCCAAACTGTTGGCTTTTGGCACCACCTGCCCAGCAGGCAGGCTGAGGTGTTTCTTAGTAGGTGTCATCTCAATGGTGTCTCCATCCAGGTCAGAGGATTGGTGCGTGTACTGCTTTCGAGCTACTGAATCCCGAGGGCTCTCATTGGATTTTGCTGCAGAAGACGTTTCTTTCTCCTTAGTGGAACGCCCACTTGCTGTTTTCCTTAAGCTGCCCTTCTGGGATACAGTGGATAGAGGTTTGGTCCCAGCTGGCTGGCTGCTGAGGGAAGCTCCTGATGAAAATCCTTCATCAGCATCATTAAGATTCACAGACTCCTCTCTTCCATTTATACCTTCAGTATCTATTAAGAAAAAAAGAAGCAACCAAAAAACACCCAAACCAATCAGAAAATACAGAATGCATTGAAGTTACATGAAGACAAAGATGTGCACAGAACACCAAAACAAACTTCATTTGCTAATCCACTTGGATTCCACCTGTTTAAATTTTTTTTGGTTTTTCAGCCAATTTTCCTGCCACATTTAGCAGAATAACAGAGTCTAACAGTAAGTGCTCCCTGAGCTTGATTGGCCTTTCATTTATAATTACTTTTATCAGTCAGAATATTGGTCCCAAACTTTGTCTATAAACAAGAATTGGGCCCCATTTGGTTAATTTGCTTTAGCTCTGTCTGCAGACACTGCTACTCAGTCTCCTACTCCTAAATGCCATTAAAAAAAAAATACAAACCCATCACCCTTTCAGACTATTTTTATCCTATTTTGAGGCAAGATCTAAGGATCTCTCGCAGTCAGAGTAAGTTCTGGTGAGTGCTCAGTAAGCTTTAGAATTAGGCTACTTCCTAGGCTAGCAATCAATGTTCCAACAGAGGTAGAAGGCTTCTCTTTTGTGTAGCTGGCACTTTGACCATATTTTCTATTGGAGATTAACCTAATTCCTATTTCTCTCTTCTCCAAAATTCAATCCTCCCTGAATTTATAGCAATCCCATCCAGGTGCTTCTACCATATTTGCTTTTATCTCAACATCCGCATTTTGCAGAGAAAAAAAAAAAAGGCAACCCTTGCATCAAGAGAAATTAAATCTCTGAAACACTTTATGTTATAGAAGAGGTACTGTGCTTTTGACTGGAATCTCAAAGGGAAAATAAAAGCATTATAATATTATTTTTTAAATCCTTATTTTTAGGCCTATAATATGATACGGGCTGCACATAAATACTTTTTTCTTTTAATCTTATTCCAGTCTTTTTCTAAGCTCCAAGTTCTGAGAAGAAGTTATTGTTTTAGCAGAAAATTGAGCAGCATTCAAATTTCAGAACTGAAAATGGAGCTATAGTTTTTTCTCCATGTATCTCATTTCAATGGGAAAAAGGCATAAATTTTCACCATGTTAGCAAAAAAGGAGTCACTCAGGCTATAAGAATTTTGCTTTTCTTTGTAAAAGCTACAGAGTCTGATTATTTGGAAGAAATACAGATCCAGCCCAGCTAAAGCCGTTGTGGTGGTCCACTGTTAAGATTGTTCAGCCCAGCTTACCACCAAGCAAACTTGTTTAAATCTTTTTCATGGAATGAGAGAAACATGGTGGCAAGTACCTGAGAGAGTAACATTTGAGTGGAAGCTCATCATCTCATGCTGAGCTTTAGCTAAGGAACATTTTACATCGTGGCAAACAGAACATACAGAAAGCTTTTGATGCTGTTGCCACCTCTGTGTATCAGGAATACGGCCTGATCCCATTTCACATTTCTGAGGTGTAATGTAAAACCAGAATTTTATAGGGAGGTTTCATTACTCTGTTCTGCATTTACTACTCTTCTCAGGAAATTTTGCCTTGGAATTACCATTATTGTGTATCAGCTTACAAAAGGTATTTAGACATCTCAAGATCAGACCACTCTCAGCCTCTCTCAAAACAATGCAATGAGAGATGATTCTGTAGTTTTCAATAGTTCTATTTGACTCATTAGCCTCCCAGAAGCAGAAAAATGATATAGTTCATGTTACTGCAGTCTTCCTTCCTTGGTTATGCCTTTTGCCTTAGAAAAAGAAGCTCCTTAGGTTCCCAGAGCAATTATTAAAATGAAAGCTGGCATTATTACTTGCTTTAACTTCCCTAGCCATATTTAAAATGCATGTACTTTCCCCACTTCCTGACCACCCTGTTTGGTCAAACTAGGCCTTCTCCTTGACACATACTTATCTTCTCTTACACTAGACAGTGACATATTTTATCCACAATCCACATTGACATTCCCCCCTCCAGCCTTCCCACACACAATCAAAGGTACTGATAAAAATCAGACATTACTGGAACATACTAAAAGCAAGACCACTTTTTCAACTAACCAACATTTAGGTTTCTTTATATAACCATGCAAAGCTGGATGAAAGCGTGTTCAGTCACAAGCAGCAAGAGAAGCAGCTGAAGCCCCCTCTCAAGCCCTTCTTATTCAATAGAAAGATGTGGAACTTGTAAGAACATATCTCCAGACAACACTGCTAAGATTTTTATTATTACAAGAGCATCAGTAGTTTTCAAAGTTTATATTAAAACTTTGTTGAGTAACACGATGCTAAAGCAGATATACTACTCAGAGACAGTGAAGCAGAGTAGTTATATTGAAAAAGTGGCATTTTATGCACAGGATTTTAAGATAAGACTGAGAGGGGTTGTTGCAAGCTTTTAGATGCTGCAACTATGCAGAGGCCCAAGCTGCTCAGCAGTGCTCAAAAATTAAGAAGATAGAGAAGATAACATGCGAGAGAGCTTCTGTCTAGTCAGACTCACATACCTACAGAAGTTCCCAACAGGATTAAAGTAATTCAGCAAACATGTTCTTTTCCTAATACATCTTATTTTTCCTCTAAAAACTGCCCTCAGAAATAATAAAAAATGTTTGAGTTCTTACATACTCTGAGAAGGAAAACAGGATGATGTAACAACAAAGTTTTCTCTTTCTCTCTTTTGTTTGTTTGTATTTGGTTTTGTTTATGTTCCAATAGACCAATAAGACAATTTCAAAAAGAAACAAAATCTAAAAAAATCTACTCCCTTCCAAATACTCTTTATTTTAAGGCCAAAAGAGAGACAGTGCAACCCAACAGAAATCATACCCATTCCACTACAGTATGTATTCAGGACTCCCACTGTTCTTATCAGAATAAATCTGTCCTCAAATAATTTGCCATTTGTGCATATACACAACTAGAACTTTAGATACAGACTCAGTGTTCTCTACTGACCCAAAATCGTGGGTCATAACCACAGCTGCAATCACCCAGAAGCAGAATACCTTGTACTGCATTATTGAGTCATTCTTGAAGTCTTGCCTATTTCTACTTAAGGGGTCAAAACACTGATCTGAAGAAGAGGTTTTAGACACCTTTTTAAAATTACTTTTAGTATGTTTATCCTTCTTATACTTGAAGATTGAAAAGTCACTAAATGTGATCAGCCTCTCCTTGTGCTGTTTGACATTGAACTAGTATTTAAGAGAGGGAATTTTCTGGCTGAAGCTTTCTGTGAATTCAGCATCAGAAAATGAACAGACCCCTAGATATACACCTACAATTTTATGTTGATAATCAAGCCAAACTCCTTTTGTTGGCTTTCTCCCAGATGCTATCAGCTGGAGAACTCAGTTTGATCAAGAATGCAATTATACATTGCTAATGTTACAGAAGTAAATGGTATTCAATCCATTTGTATTGAAGCAGAGAATGTAGAATGATGCCTTATCCAAGAATATGCCAAATTATATCAATGGCTTCAAACAAGACTAAAATGCATTATCTTTATCAACTTCTCTTCCTACTTCCTGTCTGTCCCAGAAGGTTCTCTGCAGCTCAGGACTTCTCTATATCCTTCAGGTCATGCACATGCAAAGAGCTATAAAACAGAGTAAGATCAAGTGAAAAGTGAATTTAAGAGAAGACAGGATCATTTACTGAGCATGCTCAAATTCATAATACACCAAGTAGATTAGAAACCTGCACTAAATATTTTTATGCCACTCTCTTCTACAAAAGCATGAGATCTTATTGTTTGATAGCAGCTTGAAGTGTAACTCTTCTGTGATAACACTACAGTTAAGTCCCTGAATTCTCCAGATTATTGTTTCCTGAAGAACAAATCTGAAGAACACATGTAGCTCATATCTGAATCTGCAAATAAATCTCATTTATGATCAACTCATGTCCCTATAGAGGCTGGAAACACCAAAGGAATGTTCACATAGAGAAGAAGGCTTAAGATAAGAAATTACTTGAAAACATGTTGAGCTAAATCTGTAAGAAATTAATTTTCATCTCTGAGGAGAAATCTTGGTTCAAGTTCAGTACTTGAAACTTTGTCTTTCATCAAGGAAATCATCTTACTCAAAAGTAGATGAACTTCAGTAAAATACAATTCTACCACCTACTCTATCTGCTATTCTTGGCTGCCAAGCAGACCTCTGAAGCCCTACGGCCTTTGTGTGGACAGCACAACTGAGAAAGAAAGCAGTAATTGTTTCTAAAGTTTTTAGAAACATGACAATCTCATTTCTTCCTGAAAATACAAGCAGGTTTTGGTGCTTGTAGAACAGCCAGCTCTAAATGAGTTGTACATATATGAATTTTCAATAAAAGAATGATTGACAAATAAAATATCAGTAATTGTATACCTGTTTTAGATAGGCTTGACTTTTAACGGCAACAGGAAACATCATTCTTGAAAATTTAAAAACTGCAGGCTAACAAGACACTATTTTAACTAAAATGGAGCCAAATCCATTCATACTCTGTACTGTCTACTTTTCAGTGCCAGATTCATGTTCATCAGGTGCATATTTTTTCTTCTTAATATCAGATTAAACATGCTCAGTAATAGAAAGCTTCCAAGCAATCCCAAAACTCTTGGATATTACCCCTGTCTTTTTTTTTTGTGCCATGCCAAGCAGTGTTTCACCACACAGATGCAAGCCCCAGGCCAGCCCACATGATAACAAAAGGTAGTTCCTGACCTGATGTTAGGTATATAGGGGATGTGTGTATTGCAAAGAAAGCTAATACACCCTGGGATAGCGGAAACACACACTAGAATGGAAAGAAGTTCTGCTTGGGGATAAGGAGCCAGGATCCTCCTCCAGCAACTGCCTCACTGACTTCTGCCTCCTCATCTCTGTCCTACCCTCTGTTGTGGCTGCTGCCAAGGTGGGCTCCGGGAAGCCATGCTCAGGGGTCCTGCGCAGCAGCACCTCCCCCTCTTGCTCACGTTTGATCCCTAGGTCTGTGGAGCCGTGTTGGATCGGTGAGCCAGGAATGCTTGAGTCAGCCTCGATTGAGAAGTCAAAGCCATCTGGGATTCAACATATAACATTTTAGTGCTTTTCTATTCCTTTCTTGGCATTCCAACCCAGGCAGGGAAAATAGAAAGTTTAGGCGGACACGGAACAAACACAAAACACTACCCATGCTCAGTTAGAAGTGGTGAGAACATCCACAGAAAGGGACAGGTGGGCTGTACTGCAGACCAGAGACCAGCAAATGAATATAATGGCTGGATGTAACTACAGTGAAGACAAAGACAACGCAGAGTCCTGAAAAACAGGAGACAGCTACTTGTTGTCCTGGACATCCTTATTCAGCTGAAGGCAAGAGATCATCAAATCCTTTTTGTGATCAAGAAGAATAATAAAAAATAAAATGGGAAAGAAATGTACCACAGGAAAGTATGTAATTCCTGTTTTCAGACTTTTTACTCTCAGTTGATTCTTATGTTATTCTCCTTTTTACTTTCACTGATTTATGCAGCTTTTTAAAACTGACGTTTTATAAATGAAGTAACAAAGCTTTAAAAGTAGACAAAGTGATTTCAAAGCAAGTTTTTTGCTAGACCTACACTGAAGATGTCATCACATCAAGGTAAAGATCACTACATTTTTTTTCTTCATACTGTCAAGCATATTTCCATACGATGTAAGTACTCACTGAGGAAAGACTAATTCTAAACTATCCAAACCTACTTAATAGCCCCCCAATAAACTGAGTCATCTGATGGTAGGTGTGATGTTCAGTTTTTTCTCTCTCCCACTGCCATCTGTAGCTTTAGGCAGCTCGAATCCTATTAAGGTCTAGATGTTAGCATTCATTCTCTGAGCTATTTACAATGGGAGGCAGTTGAGTTTTAGTGCAGATTAAACAAAGAACTCAAATTCTAAGTCACACTTTACCCTTACAATTTTATACTGTGTTACATGGAGAAAAAAGAAGTCTTATTAAACATTTTCTAGTTTCTCTATTTCTTCATCTACCTCACAGTTTAGCACAAAATCAAAACCAAAACAAACACCCAAAATACTCATGTTCATGCAGTGCTCTGAAGATGTATAATATTATATACTATTATGGAGTATCACTTTCAAAAACAAACAAACAAAAAGCCCCCCCAGTGTTCTGTAAACATTTAAACTCAGAAGCCAGATTACAATAATGATGATGATTACAGTACATTGTAATATGTGCTCCTGGCAGAGAAACCTCACCTTCTCTCCTCCAGCGATGACGACGGATAGAAGCTGTTGTAATAGCACTCCGAGAAATTCTTGGAACTGTTGGAGTAACTTCTACTTTCAGTACCTTCTGGCCTTCTTGTGATGCATCAGGAGCATCAAAAGGCAGTGAATTCTTCATGGCATTTGCAACCTAAGACAAAAGTAAGATGCTGTACTACTACTGTCCTTGATTGCACTAATGGCAGTATTGGATCTCTTGCTGGATACAGAAAGGAGAACAAGCAAGAATTGGTAATTATGCCAGATTCCCCTCAAGAGGGATGAGCCCATGCCCAGGTTTCAAAAGCTCATCACAAAGCTATTCTCAAAACCAGAGTTAATTTTCTCCATATTTTTGAGGTAGTTAATTTTGCTCTATCTTTGCCATCTGTAGTGACAGACGTTAACAACACATACAGGAAGGTCTCCATCCAAAAGAGACTGCAATATGACAAGGCAAATACCATTTATGTTTTATGACAAGAGCATCAATAAAACTAAGTTACAGCCCAAGCCAATGCAAACAGCCAGTGGCCTTGTGCACAGGGGGACAGGGCTGATTTCCACCACACCTTTCCCCATACCAATCCCCACCCCTCCCAAAAAACAACCCCAACAGAACCTAACCGAGGGGACTTGCAAGATTTATTTAGGAAAAAAAAAATATTTGCAACCTAAGCAACGAACATCAAGTTATTAAAATACACTCATCTTTATTAGACCTATTTTTTTGTATTGTAATGGCCTATTACAAAGTCAGATGTTATGTTTTGCAGCTTTGAGGAGAACAAGTGACTTCTGTTGGCTTTGATGTTTTAATTGCTTCTTTAAGTTTCCCATAAAATGCCTTTGGGATTAGAGGTTTACTTTAAAATAGACAAAACCAACTTTCAGTAATGCTTCTTACTTTTTAAGTAAATTGTTCAACAAAAGTGAACTTGTGTACCAGCCCCAGAAAAGCAAACTGGTTCTCTATGGTATGTGTAATATTCAACAATAACAAAGCTGATGCACACAAAGTACTACTTAAAGCTTCAAAATACCCCCGAAACCACAACCATGAACCCATGAAATGAACACACCTGGATTTTCCAAAATCATCTACTCACTGGAATTGCTACCTCTTTTGAACAGATACCCTTGTCAATGTACAAAAAAAAAAATCTAAAAATTTTCAGCAAGACTTCTGTACCATGACGAGAATCGTGACAGAGCATTTCTGCTTGTTGAACCTTTTAACAGCTGGCCCTTTCTAGCAGCAAACAGTACAAACTGTACTTCTGGGGACTGAGGAAAACCATATGGAGATAAAAATCAGTGCAACAGTAAATCTTTGAAACAATCTAAACAACCAGTCTGAATGAGTCACAGTCCTTGTCTGACAAAAACACCCTCAAAACCACGATCTTTCAGGATGCAAAAACACTTGCTCACGATGTCTAATCCAGCACTGAAAGGCAGGAAAACAAACACACAGCACAATTCAGACTTGGCAAGCCAAGTCTGCACTATCAATGACAAAGGAAGGTTGGTTTCAGGCCAGGCATCCACTCTTGCCTACAAGAAAGGAGCTCTGAGGAAAGAACATTCAATAAGAGCAGTAAGTGCATCAATAAAATACACTGGATAGAGCTACTGTCAAAATGGGGACTTGCTGATCCATGGTTCCTGTGCACTGGCCTTGGAAAGCCTGTGTGTCTCTGCTCTGAAGACTGGGATTTCTGTCTGAAAAACATGCAGAACTTTTTGCTCAGAGGAAAAGACTGACTGGAACCAGTCTGGTCTCCATGTCCAAGGTGCTGCTAATCCTGACACTCAGTGATTAGTTTGGCTCTGTAGAAACTCTCAGGTTTCACAGTACCCAGTGTTTGTTAACAGAAATACTTTAATCAGAAAAGGCCTTTGCCTTGTGTTACTTCCTGCCCTTTCCACTGCAGTCTCTGAGTAAGAGTGATAGAAGACCACTTCTACATTACAGATATTTCATAGCTTTCTGATGCTGGTTTTTCATTTGGGATTTTTTAAGCTTAGGTTTTTGGTTTTTTTCCTACAGGTAGCAAAACCCTATATAAATAAGAGCATGGATCTACTAAATACTCAAATATATTTCTCCAAGAAACAAACACAGGGATCATGATGTTTGTCATTGTAACGATGACAGATGGTATTCCCATAATTACACAAATAGATACTTGAATAAAGGTATCTAAAAATAATCCTAAAGCGGGGGTTTGACTGAATATTAAATAGACTTCAAAGAATTTGCGTCTCTTAGGAAATCCCAGGCAGAAGCTGAATTTAGCAACTTACCTGTGAAGCACCCCAGATTATATTTATTTGGTACTAGTAGTTTTAAATTTAAAATACAGAAATTTATAATGCTGCTAAATTATACACATCTCCTGAAGAATGCAAGGAGAACAAAGGGCTCCATTTTTTAAAAAAGTCAAATTGTTTGAATATACAGCATTAGGGCAAAAACATGCAGGTAATTTTTAAAATAAAACGGACAATTTCTTCAAGCTACTTTTAGAAAATGTTAGTAAAACAAGACAGGAAGCAGGAAATGATCAGAGTATTAAAAAAAGAAAAACCCTTCCCCAATAAGCCTGCAAGTATATGCAGGAAGAACCTGACAACCAGGAAGGGTAAAAATTGGTGATCTCATGATGTCACCAAACAATGGGATGGAGAATCAATAGGAGCTTTGGAAAAAAACCAAAGACATTCTAGAAGATTCTTACAACTAGGAGTAATCTCTAAGGGCAAACTGATTAAAAATAAACAATGGAAACTAAAAATTGTCATATCATCAAGTTCCAGATCCTCCTACACACTTTTCAAATGTAGTAGTTTGATAGGATGGCCCAATTCAGCAGGTTCAATATTTAATTTGAAACTTTCAATCTGATGGAGTGATGAGTCATTTCCAAAAGGAACCAACTATTATAATAATTCAATGGATAGCAGGCATTTTAAATGCAGCAGTGTCAGAAAGCCTGTAGATAAATTTTTCAGCCAATATTAATACAGTTGGAGAATAATTTTATGCAATTTAGTTCAGAAAAGAGTGCTCTCAGTGCCACATAAAAAGATTTTTGCCAATCCGCTCCTTTGTCAGTTATGTAAAAAGCAGTGACATTTTACTGCTGTTAGTTCAGAGGAGGACTAAAAGCTTCAAGCCACAATTCTGATGCAGAAACTGAAACAGCAATCTAATTGACTTTATTCTCCTTAATTTTCCCGCTTCTTTTGAATCTCATTCCTACATGTGACAAAAATTCCTCCTTTCTTCTCTTCTCATCCTTCCCAATAACATCCACCTGCATTCAGCCCAGTTTCACCACTTTCCCCATTTCTCTTCTCTCTTTTCATGATTGGAACAGCAAATACAGTGAAAACTGAAAAAATTCCCACCTCAATCAGAACTACTCTATTTTACTGCTGTTTCTCCAAACAAGGTAAAGATTAAGATCTGTGTGACTTTTATCAAACAAAATCTGGCAGTGACTCTGGGATTGGAGCTCCTTTCACTTTCAGCTGTATCCTGCTGTTGCTTTCTCTACTTTGTTATCAGTTAAAATCCACAGCTTATTCTCAACCCTGATGAAGGTCTAGAAGCAAAGAAAACACCTTTTTTGCAACCAATGCCCTGTAACATACAACTATTCAGTTAAGCTTGTTTGAACCACTCGTCAGTAGCTTGTGTCAAGTCTACATAAATATTTTGAGCCAACTGTAATATATTAGCAAAATCCTAGCTTTCAGTCTCAATGAGTACCAGAAGATCCCAACACCCTGGCTTAATATTCAGCAGAAAAAGTATGGTATAAATAGCTACGTTGCAAACACCAGCTGTTAACAAATCACTTGCATTTGATAGTGCAGTGAATGGACACAAAAGCCTTCATTACCAGTCCACTTCAGAAACACACCCATACTCCTCTTAACCAAGCCCATAAATTACAATGGATTGTTTCTTACCAGCAGGGGCTGTGAGTAGAGTTCAAGCTGTGCTCTGTAAATTATGTCCTCCAATACCTCCTGGCCAAGCTCCCACTGACCATTATATCTAAAAAGTAAAGATAGGTATTTATCTTCCACATCTTATGAAAACAAACTTGTCCCCTTTTTTTCTGCCTAAATCCAGCTTTGCACTTCTCAGCTTATGAAGAAAATTCATCACCTGTATGTACACCCCAGTGTACTTCCACTTCTTTTAACACTACAATGTATTTTATTACCTTGCTGGTTTAATAAGAAAGCTGTTCCATGTTCCCTCCAAACAAGGAAAAATTGATGCCATAATCAAGACAAACTTTAAAAAAATGGGGTCAATATGCAAACGTTAATTCTACTTAGCAGAATTGAATTTGCACCAGAAATGTATTCTTGCTACCTCAGATGCAACTGACATTTAATTGGTCTGCATTTCATCAGTTTATCTTTGCATCCAAGCTCATTACGCTTGTGAACAGAGGTATCTGTGGTAGTGGTAAGGTGGAAAAAGCTGAAACCGGAAGCCTAACTCTCTTCAGCACCTACTGCTGGCAGTTCATCACCTAATTCAGTGCTGACAAAAATATTTTCAAATTATCTGTTGATGATAAGGAAGTAATGAGAAATACACAAATTGAGTACAAACTTGTGCTATGAGCCTAACTATTTTTTTTCAATTATAAAATAAGTGGCATTTATGGTTTAATTCATGTAAAAGCAGACCTTTCTCGTCAAGTAAGAAAACCCTGTCCACTTACATGGCATAATAGACACCTGTGAGCAGCTGCACCATGAAGTCAGGGTCTAACACCACTCTACCACAGTGCTCTTTCCAGCGTTTCTCATGCTGCCGTGGAAATCCACTCACACACAGCCTAAAAACAACATCATTACAAGAAAGTATTAACTCCACAAAGACTACAAATGTCTTTACATAACACAGATTTTAGTTCTTTTCAAATTTATTTTTTAATATATAAATACACAACATGGAGCATTCTTATATTGCATTCCTAATCATTAGAGAAGTTTTGTAGCAAAGCCTTGATATGTGGCTTGCTGATAGTTCAGTGTTACTCCCATGTAGCCAATAACTACAACTGTTCTCCTCAAAACACAACCAGCTTCTAAAGAACAGGATGCTCTCCATTACCAGTCAGGAGACTCTCCCTAAAATTCAGTAACTGAAATTTTCTTTAAAGGAAACACTTCAGTGGTACAGAAGAGAAGTATGTCACCTCTCATCTAATGTATGATGACAGCATGCAGCCACCTTACACCTAAAGTCAGATAACACACATACTCTAGTGTTTGAGAACTGCTCTCAGCTACCTTGTAAGAAATATTTCTGATTCTTGAAAAAGGGGCCTGCCTTCCCATATACTGCCTACATTAAAACCAGGATAATTTATTATATCCTTATTGCATCAATTTACTATCTGAATCTTCATCATGGAAGCAAAACATGGCCACTGATACATAGCAACCATGGCACTGTCTCCAAAACAACAGAAATCCCTTGCATATTAAATGCTGTCTTGCTTCTCTACTCAAAGAACAGATCTAATTTTCAGATGCGGGAAAATGAAACGTATTTGGCAAACTTAGCATAGCCACAACTCAAGTGAAAATGATGGGAGCATGCCAAGAACTATCCATCCCCATCAGAAAGCACTTTTCTTTATTGGAGGAATATTTAAGTCTACATGACCCTGAAGACTATTTTAAAGACAAGTGTCTCACCTGGAACCCATTGTACAAAGTGACTGGTAAGAAGAAGCAGGCATGTACACAATAGCTGAATTGTAGCATAGCATAAGAAAGCTCAGCACTTCAAACCTGGAAAGAGAAAAGCAAAATCTTGCATTGTATATATTCTTAATATTTCACTGAAATTTAACACAAGAAATCTACAATTCAGTCTCAAAAACATCCCATTGAAGAAGTGTAAACACACAAATCCTTTAATCCTCTTTCATTATAATTCACTAACTTGAAACAGGCTATTAAAGGTTCACTATAAACACTTAAATTTATTATTCTGAAAATCCTGAAAGTCATTTGCATATGCAAGAACCATGAAGGAAACAAGATAAAGCATAATATTTGGGCAGTTATAGAAGTGGAAATGTCTGCAACGTACTCAAAATTATTTTATCAGTTTTCCCAGTGCCATCTTTAGACACAGGTAAAGCTGGCAGTCATTAAAATGCAGGGCAATTTCTCTCACTCCTGGTTCTGTCTAGCCACTTAGCTCCATTCCCTTTTTCCAGTAGAAAAAAGGAATCACAGCCCGTGATCCATAGCTGAGTTTTGTTACACTTCCAGGAAAAATTGAATAGACAACCATAAAACCAAAGATATTCTTTGCAGACACAGAAATGACAGGGAGATTATTCTTCAAAATTAACTAGCAGAAGAACATACTAGGATGGAAAAAAGAAGAAGAAAATTATACCTCAAGATTACTAAGGCTGTTCTCTAGATTTATTTCTGAGCACTTAATGCTGACAAAGGACTGATCACAACATACTTTTGTTTTGTTTTGTCTCCCTAGTGAAGCACCTTTAACATTAAGAGTACATTCACTTACCGGTTCTGTGCTGTGAAGGTTTCTCTCTGAGGATGAAGATCACTGTAAACCACTCTGATAAGATCATGCTGACTTAACGCTCCTTCAGTTAAAGCCATGGATCCAATGGTAGAAGGCTGGAAGCAGGCAGTGGGAGAAGGAAGGAGGGGAGAGAAGTTGAGTTTTAAGTAAAAATTCCCCAAAAACATTAAAACTCCCAGCTACTTAAGGCAAAAGATACACTTATCTTGTGATCTGTAAAAATAAAGATTACTCCAGAATACAGTAAATCTAAAAATATTACCTAGTTTCATTATTACAAAGGGCACACACTTACAAGTAATACAGCAGGTGAGAGCAATTTTCAACTTTGATTCTTATATATCCATGTAGAGTAAGTTTGTCCTAATCACACAGACCTTTTGTCCAGAAACAGTAGTGAAAGAAAAACACAATTCCAAGTTCTAACAAACTAAGGAAGAGTTAGAAGGAAGACTAATTTTATGCTAGCACGTAAGAGGCAAAAAACACAGTTGCAACAACAACATAACTAGCCTCTTTTAAAAATGGGCAGTCAGCAAAGATTTTTTAACATCTATATTCCTGTTCTTCTACAAATTCTATTGCATTCCATTACACTAACTGCAAGCTACAGACAATGACAACTTACTGCAACAAGATGCATCTAAAATGGCCTGTGGCATCAAATGGATCCAGTTTCCATTCCTCTAATAGATCCAATTTTAATTTACCACAGCAGCTCTCTTACCTCATGATATATTGAGGGTTTAGATAACGAAGGGATGGTGAAAGACAAAACTTTGTTGTTTCCATCTTTGTCAGCAATTTCCTGCATTGAAAACAAAACCAGAACTCAAACAGAAGTAAGGAGATAGGAGTTGGAATAACTTTGAGCTCTTAGAAGGAATTTAACAAATAAGTGAGATGTCCTGATCTGATAAGACTATTAATACCCCAAGGACTTTGTGCTTTTGCAGAAACAATATCAACATACATATTTAATAAGTGAGAAAAGACCTCTATCACAAACTGCTCTGCAGAATTAGTGTGCAATACTTAAAAAAACCCCAGCATTGGCTCCTTAATCAGTGAGACTTGAGATACTGACACAGAAGGGCTGATGAGTCACTTGCTGACAATGGGTAGTATTTCATAATAAATGTGCAACAGAGAAAAGGTGAAATCAAGGGGACTACAAAATTTCCTCAGGAGGAAACACACAATGTTTTCTTCAAAGGCTTTCAAACTAGTCTGATTCTGTAGTTGCTAGGCTACTACATAACCCTGAATACAAACCCTGCAGTTTTTAAAGAAAATATACTAGGAGCAATTACATAAGACTACACCAAAAAAGGAGTCTAAAATCCTGCCTTTGCACTTTGCACAGCAAATTTTCAAACAATAAGCTCCAGTCATTCCAGTTTATGTAAAAGTTTAGCCCAAGGTAGCTCAGTACTTGTAGCTGGCTTCAAGGATTACAACAGGAGGCTGGCTGACAGAATTTGTCAGAACAAAAGATTAATTTATCCCTTTCATTTTCTAAGTATTCAGAAAATAACTTCACTCTCAGTATACGTGCAGAAAAATATCAGCTTCATTAAAGATAAAAAATAGTGGAAGCCACTGCTCATTTTGAGGTCTCTTTCTTTCTGAATATGGAGAGAATGGAGAAGTTACTGTCCTTTAAAAATATGAATCACCAGCATGACTTTCAAATGAACTGCAGAATATTAATGAAAAAAGGGAGAAAAGATGAACATGCTACTTCAATCCAATAAACAGTATACAAAACCCGTTTCCAAGCAGTTTCTAGTGGTTTTTTTTCTATCAGAATAAATCTAAAATAACTAGATCTTCCAGTTGCTAGAGTTGATCTACAGACAAATAACTAGACTACATTTTATTTTTAAGAATCACAGATTGGCTATTCTGTGTCTTAGACGTAGAAATACAACCCACAATTTAAAGGAGGGGTTTACAGTGACATTAGAGGGAAGGGTGATGCTTCAGTAGAATATGTTTTAAAGTCCTATACCACAGAAATTCCCACTAGAGAATGTCTCTTGTGACAGTATTGTTGAATTTATCAAACAGCCTCATAACATTACAAAAGTAAATATTTCCAGGCTATGGTAAGGATGTAAAAAACTGCTTTTACATCCAACAGCTAAATCTAATAACTTACAGTTAATTTTACTTCTTCTTAAAACCACAGTTCCCCTCAAGACAATTATCTGACTCAAATGTACACATTCATGTATCTGAGTGCTCACATGCAGAGTGAAGGCTTCACCTTCAAACCACCCTTTAAAAAGACACATTCAGAGTATATGAAGGGCAGGGGAAGTGACACATCAAGACTGACTAAGCATATAAGCCTGACAATAAGAAGTTGTATTTTGCAACATTAAGGAGGGCTCCCTAATTTCCTTACAAACAGAAATATATAAAAGCCCATGGGATGATCCTTTTCAGTGAAAATGTTTTTCCAAAAAAGATAACAATAAACTACCAGAGAAAAAAATAATTTTTTTTGCAAACACAACTTTACTAAACCTTAATTACATTATGTTTTTCTCCATATTATATACACATTCCTTTAACTGTATTCTAAATATGTTGTTCCAATAATTTACTTTATTCCTAGCGGTCAGTGATGCAAAACTTCAAAGATCAAAGTTTTCCTCAGCCATTCCCACTCACGTCACTTACCAGGTTGTAAATGCCAAGCAACAATGCTTCAATGCAGCCATTGCTCTGCCTATCCCTGCTGGCAGTGAGACGCAGATAAACCCAGATCAGCTCTGGCAAAAACTGCAGCGTGAATCTCTTGAGCCGAACTTCAGAACTCCGATAAAGTTCAAAGAGCTGGTGGCAAACAGGCTCCAGGAGCTGAAAAAAGGCAAAAAAACCTGATCACTTACTGGTAGGCTTCTCTAATAAAGGAGAGTGAAACAATAAAACTAGAGGCTATATCATATAGCCACTGCAGTCAATAGAAATTGCATTCCCTGATGGCAAGCAAGTGAATGAACCACAGTGGTACCTGCGTTCTGTTTAAGGAGATCCACAGGGACAGACCTGAGGGACACTGGTAGGCAGTACTTGGACATGTGGCCACTACAGCCACTCCCATGTGTGCTTTGAGAAGATTTTTCTCCCTTTTCTGTACAGGTACTAATTCAAGGTGTGTGACAAACACATGGTTTGAACTATGTGCACCATAAAGCTTTAGTGAAGTTTTAAATACATAAAAGTACAAAGGTTAAAGATCAGCTGCTAATGACAAGTCCATTGACAATAATATGAATTGATTTTTTACCTACACCTTTTGAGTCTCAAAATCAATAGCTGGGCATGTTCATTATAATGCAAACTGATCTGTTCATTTTGAGTGGCACTTCAGGTTTCAGTACAAGAATGAAAAAAAAGGCCCCAATCAAGTCAGTGTGATAAAAGCATGAGGTAAACCTGCCGTTTTAAGAGCCTACAATGCTAAATCAATACCTAAGATGCATCCATGGAACTGTTAGGGAAGAGGAAAAAAGGCAGAAAGAACCACACTAAATAGTCTTATTCTTTCCCATGATCAATCAAGTTTTTATTACCAAAATCAAAACTTGAGGGGAGGGAAAATTTGAAAAAAAAATGGAAATTTCCAAGACAAATTTTTGTAAGGTTTGTGACCACAATGTAATATTGTGTTGTACCAAAAGGGATGATCGGACATGAGGAAAACATTCATGGGATTCACTGTTCTAAAAGACAGAGGCCTACATGCAACCTAAGGCACCCATATTTGTATAGAAGAGCTACAGAGTCAGGAAACAGAGGCCAGAATCTCAAGTCTTCTTTCTCATAGTACATGCTTCATGCAGTTCTCTTACACATACAGACATGTAGATTAGATAAGGCATATATGACCCCTTTTTCATTCCCAGGCATATGCACCTTTCAGAGCATTAGCAGCATATTTCATGGACTTTGATGCATTATTTTTTCATTAATTTGTCTATTCATCATAATCATAGTATCACAAATTTCCTGTAGAATTGAGGGTCACAGTTGTGCTATGCTACACAAAGATAGATTTCTGTGGTTTATTATGAACTATCCATCTTTAAAAAACTTAGGAGTCCTTTGCTAACAGCAGAGGGACCAACATTTCTGCAAGTGAATAGTTTGAATGTTTGATAAATATGCAATGCCCTAAAGTTCTATGAATGTACCATTTCACACACCTATATTTACACTTAGATATTTTACACTGGTATATCACAAACATCAAACAGAAATTTGACAGAATTATCTATTAAGAGAGCATCACCCAGGAAACAGTTTCTTTTCCAACACAGAATATTCTGGTCAATGTAGCACTCCATATTTAACCACTGATTACGTAAGCCATAACATGACATTTACATAAAATAAAACTCAGCTGTCAGAGAAATCTCTTCTTAAACAAGGCTCTGGTGTAAGTACCTTGTGTAACAAGGCTTGTGATTGACAGACTTGTTACTCTAAGCCAGCATTTACAACAGAAGCAAAGAGAGACTCTACAAGGAGAGCAATGACATTGACAATGTTGATACAGAATGAGACAAGTCCAGTCATTTAGAACAAACGAACTTTTACAAGTCATATAAATCTATCTACACACATCTATATTTATATGCATGTATAGGCAGACAGATAGAAACATAGATACAAAATAACCAACCACTTAAGTTTTGGCTTGGGATCTCAATGAAATTAGAAGTCTGTAAAGCTTCTATTACAATAATTTTAAGGAAAAAATTATACAGCTTTCTGATAGTATATTTATTCCAGTATTTCATACATGTATAGCACTTTATGCTCATAAAAGGCATAAGTATCACCATTCTTAATTAATATTAGTAGATACTCCTATCTAAAAGTGGCAATAATTATTTAAACCAACTGTAACAGTAAATGTTCAAATCCTCAGAAATAGATCTGTATCTTTGTTTTATGAAAGGCCTAACATATTTCAGATGTTCAAATTTAGTAAGTGGTTATAAATAATTTGGAATCACTAAATAAATTCGTAGATTTTTCTTTAAAAGAAAATATGTGCAAGAAGAGAACGGAAAGAAAAAGAAATCTCTGAAAATAAAACATACAAGCATATCTGCAGGGAGATGACAAGTACAAGAAAAGCTAAAAATATTATCTGAAAACAGATATATACAATGGCAATGCTATAAATAGTACTTCTATTAGATTAGAAATGACAGCAGCCCAAAGCTGTTTCCTATTTGAAATTAGCCAGTCTAATCCAAGTCCCACTAAAAACAGTGGAAAAGAAAATTTATTTTAACTAAGTCATATGACATTCAACCCGAGCAGCTACTAAGTTTATTTTACCTACTTTCAAACAAAAATTTTATATAATTAGGTTTTTAAGTAAAGACTAGGGAGACATGCTCCCTTACAAAGATAAAAGCAATATCCAGTCAGTGGTTCTGCAAGTATTCGAATTCTCCTTCTTTTTAGTAGTTGTCATATTTGTTGTGGAAAATGTTTAACAACTACAATTACTTAGGTAAAAACCTGCAATGACTATAGAACTTTTGGTGTGTTCAGAGCTGTAAGAAAAGCTGTAAACTTTTTCCACAAGAAAAAGCTGCCATCACAAAGATGCTATAACACCAATATTTTCAAAAGCACAAACACCCAGGATTTTCCTATCAAAATACAGTGTGATAGTCTCCCACCTAGAAACACAAAACTTGACACCCTGAGAAAGAATAAATGTTTTCCTTGCATCCTGGTTATCTGGCTTTCCAAAGAGACAGCCTCTTCCAAGTAATTCTCTGAATACACATACTGAGAAGACACTGGATAAACACAGGAAATGGAGCTTTTGTCATCAGTAGTGGGTGTGGACATGAACTGGCACACATTTTTTAATTCCAAAGATCTTTCAGTCCAAAGTAAAAGCAAACTGAGTAGCACAGAAGACAGCAAAAAAATCCAAAATAAAATATCTCTTCTAATCCCCTCTCTTTCCTAACAAACAAAATAATTTTAATTATAAGAGCTTTCCTATTAGCATAAGCAGCAATAAGCATAAAAAACAAATGACATTTTTACTGGCTTAAATATGCAGTGAGTATCAATGATCTAATTTTCACTCTTCATTTTATACCTCAGAGATGCAAACCAGTTATGTTTTAAGGAAGATAATGAATAGCTTTCCTTTGGCTTATTTTACAAGTTTGCCAAATCCTAAGAGTCATATCTTGAAGTTAAATATAATGCTTTATAAAATGCATGACAAATATTGGAAATACTTGCCTTTTTGAAGAATTCAATTGTAGAAAATAAAATGTGCTTATTTTAGACTTAAATATAATGTAATGGATGAAACTATTTATTATTTGAGGAGTACTGGGTCTGGCATTGCAAAGGTGGTCTCACTGTTTCACAGCTGCCCTGAGTGAAATCTAACTAACCCCACAAGAATATTGAATATTTAAATTTCAGTAGCACATTAACTTGACATCCATAAAGTATTGTCTACAGACATAAACCAATCCTAAAAATTATAAAACTATCTGAAAAACAGTACTTCAAAAGTACTTTACTTCTGAATTCAAATACTAACCAAAAATCAATATATTATTCAGTTAAATTAGCTGTTTATGAGCAAGATCACTCTTTACACTTTATGCAAATTTCTGCTCCACTCATCTTTATATTTTAAAAAGTCAGGGCACTTCCTCAAAGGCAAACAGTAACAATTGTCAATATGCTTGCCTTAATTTGATAGTGCACAAACTAGCAGACACCTGCCAAAAGAGAAACAACTTGGTTGTTTGGTTCTAAGCATGCAGATTCCATGTTAAGTGAATAATCCCAGTCTTAATGAAGATAGAATGCTGTAATTCTAGAAAAAGTCATGCTTGCCCTAAAAAGCTTGCCACTTTCCAGAAGTTTTAAAAATCAGTCAACTTTATGATTAAATTGTACTAAAGAATTGCTTGCCCATCAAGTTTAAGAATCCAGAAAGTGTATTTTTATAATAGTCTACCACATATGCTTAAACTTCACAAGCCATGAATTACCCTTCTAACAAATAATACCCTATACAGCATATTTAAAAACCCCTCTCAGTTAGGGACAAATATTACTCAGAATTATGTAAAGTAATGAATTCACTTTGGTTATATTCCTCACAGGCAAATAACTTAGGAAGAAGTGCAACAAGGAAATACATCCTGCCTTATCAAGTAGAACCTGAAGCTGGACATCTTTGTGTCTAGGATTGCTTATCTTAGATGTGGTATCAGAGTCAGGCCCAAACAGACACAGTTGATCCAAAGAGTAATATTTGACAAGTGTCAGTGAGCAATAACAGTACCCTAAACAGATATATTTTTTAAAGAGCAAAGAATCAAATCTGGTTCTTTGCTCTTTGGAAAAAAAAAAAATCAAATGCTTATTGTCAAAGCAATGAGAAGCTTTTATATTTTCAGGAGTCTACACAAACACAAATACATAGGCAGCAGCAATGGTGGCTTCAGGTTGAAGAGAGAGTAACAGCAGCTTTTCAGTGCAAAGAAAAAGGTCACTATGCAGGTTATTTATAATACTGAAATGAAGCTGACAGCTATGAAGACTTTTTTTTTTATAAATTGCATGAGCATTATGCAATCTCCTTGAAGCTCAATCAAGCATTCAGCTTCCTGAAACAGCTGAGCTGTACTTGGGAAAATAAAGAACTTCCTTGCTGTGTACACTACCCATTTAATTTATAAATATATGAGAAGTCAGATGATACACCAAGTATTTGTAAGCATTTTATCTAAAGTAGTTTACATGTCAGAGAACGGTATGCTTGCACAATTTATTCAGAAGTTGTTTTGTTTTTTTTTTTTAACACACTTGCCCAGAAATGCTCCTTGCAGAAGCCAATGGGTTAGAAAGCTCAGTTTAATGTCATCTGCAAAATTAACTGTGTACAAGGATAAGCTAAGTTTTCATTGTGTCTATTTATATTTTGGGACCCTGGTTTTGCTCTTGCTTACAGAAGTGTAAACAGAATTACACAAAAGTGATACCAGTATAAGCACGAGAAGATATCTTGTTATCTTAATGGCATTTAAAAATTGACTCCATCTTCCACTGCAATAAGCCACCACACAAGAAGTACATTGATCTTTCTGAGTTTCACTGTAAGGCCTCCTTTGCCTCACTTTTGACTGAAAGGTGATTGCTGGGAATTAAAAAAAACTAATATTAAAAAAAACCCCAAACTCAAATCCCCCTCAAAAAAACCAACAAAAAAAACCCCAAACCAAAACACCAAAACCAACTTGTGCCAAATAAAGCACAACAGCCAGCTGCAGCAAGGAGAATCTAGCAGAACAGCATAAACAGTATTTTTGGAAGCAGATGAGATTGTGTCTTACTAGAAAGGCATTAAAGTAACTGTCAAAAAACAAGAGACCAGACAGAGGGATGATACCTATGTTAGACTACATAAGAATAAAGAATCAAACATCTTCTCCATTACTTTAGTTTTAGTTGTAGATGTGAAAGATCCAGGAATGAGAACAAAAATAGTTTTTTTAAATCTCCTACCTCATTATTTGGGTCTTGAATGACCTTATAAAGAGCTGGTACCAGTGGTTTTTTTCGGTGCAATGTAGCTGCATAGCTGGAAATTTGGGATTCAGGTAATGCCTGGGGAAAGGAAAAAAAAATTACCCTGACAAATAAATGCTTCCAAGTATTCAAGATCTCCACAAAAGAATGAAGTCTCATTCCAATATCAAAGAAAAATCCTGGGGTTCAGTAAATTTTCAGACTTGTAACCTAACTGTTGAGTATAAGTCCTTCTCCATACAAATAGCATTTGGGAGCACTTAATCACTTTCAGGGTTAAATCCAAAAGCAGTTTAGATTCATCTTTCATAATTCACTTGCTCTAGTTTGGTATGAGGACTCTTTTTTGATAGCCTGTATTTAAACAGGCTGTTTCTGAAGACTTTATCAAATCAACTCAACTCAATGTGAGGAACTACTAATTTTTAATTTAAATAACAGACTAATTTCTTATCAGTCATTAAATCCTGTTTTCTTGTCTATGGATCATTCTGTATTTCACTCAGCATAATTATCAACATGCAAAATACCTTAAAAATACTTCACATTCTTCATGACAAAACAATTAATTTTATGCAGACCATAGCGGAGGAAAAGTAAAGTATTTTTCTTTGATGTTTTATTAAAGTCCAAATAAATATGTACTGATTTTTAAATTTAAAAGTTCCTCAATTGGAAATTTGGGCAGTGTTATCCAGCTGTTACTTAAATTCTATCAGCTTTACCTACACAAAATACACATTTAAAAGACAACATTGCTATTGCAAATATAAACTGCTATTAGAATTTTGCATTGTGTTATGTACCAGCCAACTCAATTACACAGACATTTGCATACTTTATGGAAATAAAGGAAATTAGAAATAGGAAATTGAACGATCAAGTAATAGATATTGAAAATGTTAATTATTTGATATTAAAAAAACCCACTACTATATTTGGTGGCATTAAGCCAATGGTTTAGGTATCATTCATCTTCTCAGTTCACCTTGAATTCTGACAGCCATTCTTCCACAACACCTCGTTCTGATCCCAGCATTTTCTTACTTCTTTTGCTTCTCTCTTACCTTCAGAAGAAAAAAAAAAAGTTAAATATTAGTCATGGTAAGAAAATGTAAGTTTTTTTACAATCCTACCCAATGAAAAGTTGTCAATATATCTCCAATAGAATTATATAATACAAAACAATTGAAAAGTTGCATTTTGGACCATCAGTCCCATTATTTAAGAGTAATTTAACTGTTTGCTTAGTCTAAAATGCTGTGCATAAATGGGGAAGAAGGAAAAAGCAGGATTCAGTGCTTCAGTCTTTCAGTGTTTTGAACATTATTTAGGTTCAACAAAAAAATTACATGTTTGACATAGGAGTTACATCATGGAAGTCCTACAATAAATGACCTTTTAATAGGCAGACTACATGACTAGAATCACCAATTCTCTTCTCAGAATTTACTTGTTTTGAGTTCTGAAAGATTAGTATTTAAGAAGGATGAGTACTTGTTAAACAAGAAGTAAAATGAGATAAAAGGCTTCCCAACACATTTCTTGAGTTAATGTATCATTTTTTTCAATGGCCCTCGGCAGGAAGTCATTAAGAGAATACCAACTCTCTTGAGGGTAAGGAACTGCTTCAGATTTCTAAAGCATTTTTAAACATCCTAAAATACAACAAATTCAGAAACAACATTAATTTAAATTCAAGTAACACCTGAGTGACTTATTTCAGCAGAAATACTGAAAAATAATTCTGGAAAATAAGAGAACAACTAATTAGATCTCTGCAAACAAAAGTTTACAATGAATCCTTTGTGACACAGGGAAACAGATACCATGTCAGAGTGAGCTATGTATAGAATCCAATTTAAAACATCATAGTGTATGCTACAGAAGAACCTGAGTCCTAGTTTAGTCTGTCTAGAAAAAAAAAAATAACACTTTATTCAATTCAACTTTACCTCTTTAATGAAGTCAGTTTTCTAAAGGAGGAAGAGGAGAAGGAATGTAGAAATTTTTCAACCTGGGATGCATTTGTCAAGCCTTCAAGTACTGCCCCGTTTTCTAAAAGATGGAAAAAAGTATGATGATCCTAAAATCAAGAAAAAATAAATATAGTAAAGCAAGAATTAATGTAAACGTTTTTTGGCCTTACAAACTGAAATTTATCAAATCCTCCAAAGTCCACGTGAATCCTTCTGCAATAAAGCAATTTGCTATTTAAAAAAAAAAAAAAAAAAAAAAAAAGGCTCAGTGTTTTAGCAGGAGGAAGGGAGAAATTGCCTTCACCCAAAAAAAAAGCTTTTATGTAGAAAATCCTTCCGTCTTAGTGGTGCAAAGTACCACAGGCACAGTACTTACAAAGAACAGTGTAAGAAGAAAGAAGAGAGTAATAATTTTATTAAATGTGAACTGAATTCATACCCTGACTTTGGAGAACATGTAATGCTTAAATTGAAGAAATTAAAAGACTCTCCCATACTATAATTTCCTTAGTGCATATTTCTTACAGAGACAAAATTTCAGTGTCATTGTGAAAATCACGGATTACCCTGAAGTTCACCTTTAGCTGAAGATTCCTTTCATAGCGAACAAGAGGCAAACAACACACCAAGGAACCAGCCCTAGGTACATGAACGGTTCTGCCACGCACTGAGCTTTGAGCAAGCCCTACTTGGGAACTTCTTTCAGCATAAGTCAGCTTGAGAAGCACAGCTGCTGCATTAATGCATAAATAGTGCACATCTACTCTGGATATGGTCACTGCTGGTTCAGTTTTAGGACAAATCATCTCTCCCTTTCAAATTATCTGCCGGGATATTGCAGACATTTACAAGGACATGTACAAAGCAGGAAGACAGGCAGCTGATGGATTCCCAGCACACAAGGTGCACTGAGCCTGCACAGGAGCACTGGGGAAAAGCAGGGTGAGCCTCTCAGCTCAGTGCCCATCCTGCTCCGGGCACACCTGGACTCTCAGCTCGGTGCCCATCCTGCTCCGGGCACACCTGGGCACTGTGGGACTGGCTGGGTCTCACACACAGATGGCTCCTGGGATTTGCACATGGCCATCTGGAAAGCACACCTCATGCTTATACTCACTCCCTGGTTTGCTGTATCTTTGGGGGGAAAAAAATATAAATATATCAAACACTGTGTGGGTGTGTCCCTAAAGTAAACTGGTTCAATACATTAAGCTCTGTGCATATTTATTCAAGGTTGAAGTAGCCTGAACCAAGAGTATTGAATTTCATTTCCAGAGTGTTCACATCTCTCCCAAAGCAAACAAAATACAGGGAATATAAGAGATTTCTCATGATTATTTAAATTTTTTTCTACTATGATTCAAAGGTTCTTATAATATACAGGACCATAATAACTAATCAAAAATTTATTTGTTAGTAACAGTAACAATAAAACATACTAAAATATTTTAACATATGATCTGATGAAGATTTCTTAAATACTGAACAAGTAAGAAAGTTTGAATTCAGACTAAAATATGGAACAGGAAAAGTTATAGCTAGGAATGTAGTCACTCAATGTTAAAATCAAATACAAAAAAAATCAATTACCAAAAAGCTTCCCTATAAAGGACATGAAATTATAGTTTAAATGTTTCCTCCTAAACTTACTCATTTGGTATAAACGAGCAGAATATGACACATAAGGCTGTTAAATTAGACCTGAAATCTTTATCCTTACTATTAAAGCTACAATACTCTGTTCTGAAGGAAGTCACAGTCTTGCACAGTGCATCTGTCAATGACAGTTAAGATGTAAACAGAATTTTACCAAGTCAGAGCACTCTCCTAGATCATGCTATGCACACCAATCATGGAATCACAGAATCATCTTCATTCAAAGGAAAAGACCTTTAAGACCATTGAGTCCAACCATTAACACAGCACTGCCAACTCCTCCAATATACCACACCCTTCAGTGCCACATCCACATGGGTTTTTAAATCCCTCCAGTGATGGCAAATTCACCATTCTCAATACTTTTGCCTTTGGAAATATAAAAGTCTGAAAAAATGTTTATTCCAACAATATACTAGTAGAATAAAAATTAAAACTCAGATAACTCCCCAAGAATTTCTGACTACAGTAAAAGAAATAAAACAGGGTTTAATCAACTATGCTTATCACAGAGCTTGTTTTTCACTTACATTTAGAAGAAAGACATATGAGTACATTATTATTTAGCAGTCTCCATTTAAACCACTAACCAAAATCAATCTGCAAAATGATTACCCAAATAATCTCAGCCAGTACCACTTACTACACTGTCAACTATAACAGTGGGGATTAGAAAGAAAAATAAAATGCTACCAATTAGATATTTGTAATTGATGATATTGAAGAAGATATGATTATTCAAGTATGCAGAGGTTTTTTTGTCGGTGGTTTGTATTTTATTCAGGGTTTTTGTTTGCATGTTTGGTTTAAAGAGGCCAGTAGTTTATACTGGTTTGAAGATACGTGGGAGACATTACATTACACGACATGCACTTCAAAATGAGTCCAGTTATGGCCATTATATAATGCATATGTGATGCATATAACGTAATTTTAGTCCTAGTTGCACAATGAATGAAAATATTATGTATTTTTACCTTCAACACCATGAAAAGAATAATTTGCAATTAAAACCTGAACTCTGTCAGCCAAAAGAATACAGTTTCATGCTACATGATTTCTTCACAGTGCCACTTGTGTAAGGGAACATTATAGATTGACAGGTCTAAAAGAACAGAAAACTCAATTATCAATTATAGCTTGCTCTTCCAAGCTACATAAACACTCCTCTCATATCTATAATTCATTACTGAGCATGGAAAGAAACTTATTTGAAAAAAGATTTTTTCCATGCTGCCTCTGTAAAAAAAGTAGCGTAGAAAGTATCAAGAATGCATCCTTACTCTGAACTAAACATACATTCAGAAAGTTCTTAGCTCTGTAAGAAGAGCACCTTAAATCATGTTAAACATGATTAACACCCTGGAAAGCAGAGTAGATAGAAGACAACACAAGATGAAGTGGTCAGAAGTACACAGGAAAGAAGCTTCCCCACCACACACCCACGCTAACTAGACTGGGAAACTCTGGAGGAAGAAAACCAGGCAACGTGCTGAGCAGTGCATACAACAAAAGCACAATTTAACTTCTCCTGATCAGCTATCCCTGAATGCAGAGGTGTAAAAGACTAAATGGAAAAAGACTAGGTAATACATCTGGTCATGCAATGAAAACATCTGTTCAGGAATGCATCAGCAAAATAAATCAAGATGCTTGATTACACAAAGTCATTTAAAGTAAATCTGAAAACATGAAAGTAGAGTGTACAAAACTGGTAATATGCTCTTATTTGAAATACTGGCCTACATTTGATGTAAACAACCTAAAAAGAAGTATGTATAAGGCAGAATAATGTTTAAGAAGCAGTTGAAGACAAGGATTGGGAAAAATAACTTCTAACCTGGATATGGAATAATTTTTAAAAAACAGAGAAATAACTCTTTGTCTTAGAAGCACATGGAATTAAGTGGTTGAGAAGGTAGAATAGACTTTTTCTTGTAACAGAGTAATAAAAAAGAAAATGTTTGAATGCACCAGGACAGAAGTCTTAGACTGTTAACAGTGTACTGCTTTTCACACTGTAAGTTACCATAAAATATCATGAGGACAATAAGAAGCTATTAGAGATAAACATTGTAACACCTGTTTTACACAGTTACTTCTGTTGCAGAACAAGGAGAGTAAAGAAAAAAGCTTAATGGTGTAAACTAGCACTTCATTGAGAAGCTTTACAAAAAAACTTCTCTTAAAAGAAACTCCTTGCTTAACCACTCAGTATACAGGTGTATACAGCTTCATCCAGCTACTCTAAATTTACATACTAGAAGATATTAAACAACCACAGTATGGTCTGTTTCCACAGTAGAAAAGGGTCTGACTCTTATGCTAATCTAATCCCAAGAAAACATAAAACCAGCCTTGGAAATGTTCAATTTTGGTGGATGACTTTTTGTACTTATTTAAAAGTACATGTATTGTAATACACATCTCTTATGATAAATATAGTACAAATACCATTGTGATTTCCCTGTATCTATATACATAAACATATTATTCTACTAGAATCCTATTCAGTAGACACTTACATAAACCATCATTTTGGTAAGAACATAAAATAATAAATTTAAAAATTATTGTCCTCAGCAAATCAGAGCTACAACTACAACTTGCCATTAGAAACAGGTTCAAACATTCTGCCAGAATTCTCTTGGCCATACAGCTCCACAGTACAGAGAGAAAAGGTAAAAACTGACAAAGACAGAAAGAAACAAAACCTCCTCCAGGTTATTAATTTATTATTGTCATCTCAAGCCTCCTCCTTAATAGAAAAAGCACTCTTCCAACTCCAGTTTTTAGGTAATTTAATTGCAAGCTTCAGCAGACAGGCATGCATTCCAACTTTAAAATATAAATGCTGATGTATTCTGTATGTGGGATTTAGGTTGCCAGCCTTATTAGACAAGCCTTAGTCATGCAAAACAACTTGGATAAGACATTTCTTCCCTGCCCACTCTGACTCACTAGTAATAACCAGGCTAAAAAGCTTTTTTTTTGGATATCAGCAACAAAGAAAGTTATGTCAAAACAATGGGAGAAAGCCTTACCACAGAGAAGTCAAAGATGATTGATAAGAGTCTTGTAAACTTTCATGGTACCACACTTGCACAGTAAGATTAATGTCTTATCAAAAAGGTCACATCAATTTCAGCAGCTGCCAAAAAGGGGTAAAGAAAAGGTACAGCCCATCTCTTCCAAAAAGCCTCCTCTAAGTCATTTTAAGCTCTAAATTATCTTCTGTGCCTTTTCAAGCACCACAAAGCTCAGCTGCCAACCTTCTATCTTTCTACCATTCCTACAGTGAAACCACGCTTCACAGATACAAATTGCTGAAGACAAACAATCAGGGCAGTGGGAACGAAAATACAACACTGAAAATAGACACCATATAACAGTTTAAAACTACTTTAAGGCTGATATTTTCAT